GGGTTAGGGGGAGTGCGTCGCAGCTTTCGATTTGCTTTCGCTCTCAAAACGTATGCAATGATTGGGGACGGGGACGGCGAGTGAGCAACGATGCGCACCTTACCCGAAAATTTCTCTCGAACTTTTGCGGGTAACAAACATATTTTCTCCTTTTTAGGGTAACGCACCTGTATTAGGCAGTGCCGTTTATTAGGGGCATCACTTTAGCCGTCACAGTCTAGTGAAACGAGGTGATTTATCGTCGTGTTCGACGCCGTACCATATTTTTGATTCTTTTCTGTTTCTTTATTCTGTGGACTGGAGGCTAATGTAACATAACAATTATATCAATACATTTTTTTAAACACTCATATATAATTAGGTGAGCAATTTTATGTATTATTTAGGTGTAGTACCTAGGAGTGTGGTATCTAGAAGTTCATAAAAAAAACTAATAAATTATTTGTTTTAATTATGTATGTTACGATAAACTGTACAAGAAAACACTTGATATAAATAGTAGCATATAAATAGGCAGGTGTTCGGCTGCGGTTTGTGCACTGTGGCGCGATTTTATTTTCCTGTTGAGTTTCACCGGCGCAGGCGCGGGCGCAGGCGCAGGCGCGGGCGCGGGCGTTTCAAGCTACAATGCGCTGACACTTGATACATTATTCATTATTTACAACTTCTTTGTTTGTTCGTTGTGCATAGGAACATTATACACAAATCTCTGGATAACTGCAGACTGCCCCATTTTACTTACGTTATTTTTAGCTTACTGATATAAAAGAAAACACTAGACTCTCCATCATAGAAGAATATATAGTGTCACAATACTGTAACGTTTACCGTGGTGCAACATGCTATGCAATCTTAGTTGGCAAGCTGTGAGCGAGAATAGGAGAGTTTTGTGAGACAGCGGTTGTGGTTGTTGCAGGCCCATCCGCGGCATGTCGGCGGTGGTCGCGGGCGCGGGGCCGGCACACGCCTGCTTTTTCGCCACCTACGAGCAGAGCAAGCACACGCTCGGACACCTCACCAGGCATCGACACGACCACATCACTCACGGTCCGTATACCTCACTACTGCTGCTGTACGTATGTAGCAATGGAATACTTGATGTGTGTTTGTATACGTTTCCAGGTCTGTCGGGCTGCCTGGCGTCGCTGGTGCACGACGCGGTGTCCAACCCGGCGGAAGGTGAGTGTCGCAGCGACAGGCACACAATGACGCTGCCACTCGGACGAGTCAATTGTTCGTAAATTGAAGCGGAATTGTCCGCCGCCGTGGCCGTGGGCGCCCTGCCCCCTCCGGGTAAAGGGCATCAACGAATAGAGTCAAATTATACGCATCTGTTTGTATGCACACACACACATATTCCTGAAAATTCACTTTGCGGAAGTAATTTTTGATACATTTTATTTCGATCGTACCTTTTTTCTTGACACAGTAACCTACGTCTAATTTCAAATATTTCTTTGTCTATTGAGTTTTTACTGCAGGAGTGTGACCGAGTGCTATACTATCAGAACCGCACAAAATGCGGGACAATTTGCGTTTAGATTCCATTTATAAAGATGAGAGGTCGGTCACGTCGCCATGTCGTCACGTGCGTTGGCTTCTCGTTCTCGGAATCGGCGCGTCAGAGGAAAACGTTGAACGACTTTTTGTATTTACAACCATGATGCCCAATATTATAAATTAGCTGTTACCTGTGACTCTGTCCACGTAGAATTGATTAAATTAGTAGCTTCTTCTTCTGCTTCTTGTATATCCATGCCAAATTTCAGCAAGATCCGTCGAGCCAAACACATACCCTCGGGCTAAATTCTCATTCATAATAAGTATTTGTAATGTGAAATAACCTGTAACCGAATGGAATATATAAAACCGTAGACAAAATAACATATAACTTCATGGTGAGGAACAAGCCAAAGAGTAACGTTTAACCAATATACTCGAACAACAACGAGAGTATGTGGGCGAGGGCTGCAGTATTGGTTAGAGTTGCATTGTTGTAGTATCTCTGTAGTTAGAGAAGCAATCCGCATTACTGAGTGGTCGTGTCGTGTGCGGCAGTGGTGAAGCAGCGGCTGCAGATGCTGCA